GGATATAATCCTAAAAGTGTAGGCAAAAAAAGCAAAAACAGGCACAAGGGATTATATCAAACTGAAAAGCTTCTGCACAGCAAAGGAAACAATCAACAGAGTGAAGAGAAAACCTGCAGAATGGGAGCAAATTTTTGCAAATTCTTTATCTGACAAAGGATTTTATACAGAGAATTTAAGAGCTTTATCCATTTTTAAAACTGAGTTGTCTCGTTGTTAACTAAAACAAGTTTTTTTTTAACATATTCTTAATTCCAAATGCTTATCAGATATAAAGATTTGAAAATATATTTTCCTATGCTGTGTGACAATTTTTTTTTAAAAAAAGTTATTAATTCCTAAACCTAAATCAGAATTACTGACTCAGCATATCTAAGTTAAAAGAAAAACTTTCAGGTGATTCTGAAGGTTTGGGAATCAATGATCTAACCCAGTGCTTTTCAAATTTTAGTGTGCATACAAATCACCTGAGAATTTCCATAAAATGCAGATTCTTGGGGAAAGAGAAAAATCACCACTAAAACCCCACAGTTAAGGGAGCATGGCTGGACTAGCCTGGGGTGGGGGGGCTGTGCCAGTTGCTCTCTGCAGCTGCATTCTCTGCCAGCTCCCCTCAATGTCCCTGGAGCATGTGTGTTTCCATCTGGGTCCAAAACTGAACAGATGGATCCATGTTGTGCCTCAGTGTCTGGAGGACATGAGGGAGAGAGTAAGGCATAGGGGCATGATGGTGCATCTGTTTACTGGGGATGTGATGGTGGAGAGGGAGCTATTCCAATCTGTCAGCTGAAGTTGTAAAACTACTGCTGCCATCATCTTCTCTTTTATGCTTTCCATTTCTTAAGTTCAACTGATACATGGGTGGAGTCACTGTCAACCTAGTCATGTCTCTTGGACTCTGTCCCCTAAAGGTAACCTTGGGGAAAAAAGGGGTTTTATTCCTTGTGTAGAGGTTCAGGCCCCGATTTAGTGGTGAAAGAACTTTTAAGAGCAGTATACTTTGCTACTTGCTCAAATTGCAAGGAAAAGCTCAATGGTCTATCTGATCCTGAGTCTACCTAGCACATGTGATTTCAGCAGCAATGGTAGGCTTTTCAGTACATTTCTCCTGAGAAGAGTGAAATCATATCATCTCATGCTCCTCATGGGCAGATCACTTTCTGTATAAGATGGACTAATGTAAACTTCAACTAGTTTTAACAGCAATCAACTCCATCTGGCTTAAAAAGACTCAGTTACAGTCAGGTGTGATGGTACATGCCTGTAATCCCAGCATTTTGGGAGGCTCAGGCAGAAGGATTGCAAATTTGAGGCCAGCCTTAGCAACTTGGAAAGGACCTAGCAACTTAGTGAGCCCCTGTCTCAAAATAAAAAATAAAAAGGGCTGGAGATATGGCTTAGTTATTAAGCCTCTCAGGCTTCAATCCCCTGTGCCCCCTGCCAAATATATATAGTGTTGTTTACTCTATGAGCACTTTTCCATTCTTTTAAACAAGAATATCTCTACTGTCACTATTCAAAGAGATAAATTTATATCTTCTGGCTTTTCTTTAATTTCTGTAAATTATAAATAACAGTATTAAGAGCCTCAGTATTATTTTCATGTTTCTCTGAGAGGACCTGGTACAATATTTTTTTAAAAAGTCAGATTTAATTATCTGATAATCATGGCTTTTTTTTGTTTTTGATGATGTTGAGGATGGAATGCAGGGCATTTTATATGCTAGGTGAGTGTTCTACCACTGAGCTACATCCCCAGCCCCAGTCACTGTTTTTGACAACAAATGAGATCCTATCTAAATATCTTGTGTATTTAGTATGACAATGTTTTGGTTTCTGCTGCTAAGAAGTGCTCTAAATATTTAGCATATTTAGACATTTATATTTAGACAAATTCACATAGCCATAGTTTGGGACTGTAAACCAATAACATGTTGATTCTTGGCTAGCTCAGGGACATGTACATGTACTTATATCTTCTCTAACATTATGAATGAATGCAATTGTCTTCTCAGTGATTAGCTATAAACTTGTTGCCTATTTATCATAGCTATCATTTATTTTTTTAAAAATTGTTTTCTTTTTTTAGCTATATATGGACACAATACCTTTGTTTTATTTATTTTTATGTGATGCTGAGGATTGAACCCAGTGCCTCACATACGCTAGGCAACCTCTCTACCAAAGAGCCACAACCTCAGCTCCTCTTATCATTTATGTAAAGGAAAAAATTTACCATTTTGAATCTTTCTCTACTTGCTTTCACATTAAGAATTTGAGCATTTGAATTATCTCCAGGTCTGTATAAATTACACTTATTTTGTAGACAAAATGGCAATTTTCAGTTTTTCCCTCACAAATTTTTTTTTTAAGGTGACATTAATATTACTATCTGGAATAGTATATTACAGAAGAGGGCCCTCTGCTATCTGATTCAGCAGGTAGGGATCTTAAATTACTTACAGTTTTATAAGTGAACAAACTGATTTTGATGGGAAAATCATTATGTCCTAGTTTCCTGAATGGTAAATCATAGAAAGAGGTTGATATGGGCAAAATGTGCTATTTTTTTAAAGTTTTGCTACTGACTCAATACCTTTTAGTACTTAAATATATTATATGTTTGCTGTACTCTGTTAAGAGACTGACTATGGATATTGCTATACTGGAATATAAAATTTCTACAATTAAAAAAAAAAAAAAAAGAGGGCTGGGGCTATGGCTCAGCGGTAGCGCACTTGCTTGGCATGTGTGAGGCACTGGGTTTGATTCTCAGCACCATGTAAAATAAATAAAGGACTATCAACAACTTAAAAAAAAATTTTTTAAAAAGCCAAGTATAGTGTTGCACATCTGTAACCCTAGGGACTTGGAAGGCTGATATAGGAGGACTGCAAGTTCAAGGGCAGCCTGGGCAACTTTGTGAGACACTATATTAAACAACAACAATAACAAAAACCCATCACAGTAGTCACTGTTGCAAATATTATCCACTGGGCTGGGGATGTGGCTCAAGCGGTAGCGCGCTCGCCTGGCGTGCGTAAGGCCCGGGTTCGATCCTCAGCACCACATACAAACAAAGATGTTGTGTCCGCCGAGAACTAAGAAAAAATAAATAAATATTAAAATTCTCTCTCTCTCTCTGTCCCTCTCTCTCTCTCACTCTCTCTTTAAAAAAAATATTATCCACTAATGAATGCAAAAATTACTGGCAAATTTTAAGGAGAAAAATGTATTTGTATATCACTGGAGTATTTCCCAAATGTGTATTAGTCACAAAAGTAAAGATAATTAGCTTTCAGTTGAAACATCAGGCAGATTCTACTTCCATCAAGTGGTCAAGGTCAATGAGACTGGTAGTAAAATCTTTGACACCATCTGCCTCTGACCCAATGTGCTGAGAAAAGGACATCACCTTTGTGGTAATCTCCCGAACTGATAACCTCAGTATAACCATGAGGAAACATCATCCACATCCACAAAATGCCTAGGCAGCATTCTTTAAAGGGGTCAAGGTTATGAAAGATTCCTGAACAGAATAAGGAAATGAGTGAAAATAGGTGAAACCCATATAACCTGTAGTTAACAGTATTGTACCAATGTTGATCACTTAGTTCTGATAATTGTGCCATGGTAACTGAGATGTTAACACTAATGAAAGCTCAGTGAAAGTTATATAGGAAGCTGCTGTACCTGGTTGAAAGTATTCTATTCTATTCTGCTTTTTAACAAGCTCCCAATAGAGGCAGATTCTGCTGGTTCACAAACGCCATCCTGAGTGGCAAGGGATTAGACCAGTGGTTCTCAAACTTAACCATACATCAAAACAACCTGAAGGGTTTTCCAGAGCACATTGCTGGGCTTTACTTACAGAGTTTCTAACTCACATAGTTTGAGGTGAGGCCCAAGAATCTGTATTTCTAAGAACTTTCTAGATGATGCTGATGCTGTCAATGAGCCTTAGCTCATGATCTTCCATTTTCAAAGAATTGTAAAACAATTACAGGAATATGAAAAAGATTGTATCTGGCCTTCAAAGCCTAAAATAGTCAGAGGAAATGGTTGCTGAGACGGGACCCTTGTTACTCAGTGCTGCTACTTGGCTAGGGGATAGTTTAGTGGTAGAATTCTTTAGCATGTGCATTCTGTATTCAGGTCCAGTAGTCAAGCCCAGCCTCAATCAACAAACAAAAAAACCTAAAAAATACTACTGCTTAGGTACACTAGTCAGTGATTCTTAGTTAATTCATCTGGCATGGGTCCTTGGCACCAATGTTTTTAAATGTTGCTCCTCCATTTTCTGTTAGGCAACCAAAGTTTGAATTACTGATTATGACTATCTGCCTACCTATTAAAAAAAAATCTGCTCCTCAGCCATCCTGGAGAGCTTGATATGAACTCAAACAAATGCCCATGCCAAGGAGCATTTTTGCAATTTAAAATTCATTTCAAAAGTTGAGCTATTTTTTTGTGACAGTTATTAAAGCCTGAACATAAAATCAGTATTTCACCTCTCACTTGTCCCCTTCTAAGGGAATATAAATGAAAACAGTATTATATATCAAATTTTGCCAAATAAACAAATGAGCACACTGTGCAGAGTGATCTGAAAAAATGGGCTAGGAAAGAAAGATGGACTAGAGAAGGGGTCAGGTGAAAGCTTCTCTATGGTGTGGCTGACAGGTAACAGCACAGGGTGCTAGAGAGCTGAGGGAAAGGGAGAAAGGTTGAAGTCTGAGAAATGGCAGTGGTGTCAATATACTTGAAGAAACATCACAAAATACTTTTAGCTTCATAAACCCAACATTTCTTGGTTTTTCCACTGGAATATTATTATCACCAGGTGTCCCTCTAATATTTAGGCAATTCCTTCACATTTTAATCTTTTGCCTATTACTCCTGCCAAAGAGGAAACCTTAGCTTGAGTTTGGCCGCCTCATGGTTGCCCCTTCTGGAAAAGGCCTGTGTTTGTTCTCATACCTGTGCTCTCTTCAGCCTGATTGAAGCCACAGATCTGACAGATGCTCTGGACCCATTTATTCATGTCCTCCTCTGTCTCAGCCACCAGGTAAAAGGTGCGCTCGCTGGTCTTGATATCAAACACAAAACTATCCTGCAACTCCTTCTTGTTGAAGGTGAGGCCTGCATCCACCTGCTCACAGAAATTCAGGTTGATGATGCGCAGGGGTTTCTTGGAGTGATCATTCTTGTAGTATTCCAGAACATCTGGATCACCGCTCATCCGGCCACTCCGCAGGATAAACCAGCGTTTCTTCCAGGCCTAAATGCATCAGGTAGGAGCAAGAAGGGGGAAATGCCATTAGGTATTTCAAAAAAATTTTTTTATGTTTTGGCTCATGCATACTAGGTAAGTGCTCTACCATCAAGCTACATTCCTAGTCCTTTTAAAATATTTATTTTGAAGCTGGGCATGGTGGCATGTGCTTAAAATCCCAGCCACTCAGGAGACTGAGGCAGAATTACAAATTCAAGTTCAGCCTGGGCAATTTAGCAAGATCCTATCTCAAAATATAATTAAAAAGGACTGGGGTGGGTATAGCTTAGTGGTAGATGCCCCTGGATTCAATCCTTAGTACAGAAAAAAACATTTTTTTTTTTTTTTGGACACAAGGTCTTGCTAAATTGCTCAGGCTGGCCCTGAACTTGCAGTCCTGTCTCAGTCTCCACTACAGCTAGGATTATAGATGCACATCACTGTGCTTCAATTTTAAAACTTGTTTTAGGTCCTCAAATATCAGGTTAAGAATGGAGATCCCTGGACCTACTGGTTGCTCACAGTCTACATTTCCATTTCAGATTTCCCCAGAGTTTCAAAAATGAAGGATGATTTAAAAAAATGCACATTAGTGCAGCATTTCACTGTGGAAACAATCTCATTACCAAAAAATAGGATGTGGAATTCCTGTTTTAGATGGGGAACCCCACTAAGGTATGGTAAGTTAAAGCAATGATGTGAACAGCAAGTAGTGGAAAAGTAAGTTTCCTAACTTCCTACAATGTGCTTTTTATCAAATTATGATATCTTAGAGAAATGCTTCTAAAACTTCTTTGAATCTCGAACTTCAAGGACTTTTTTTCCCCACTGCAATATATATCTCTAGGACTTACAATACCAAGCACTCAACTGAATGAATAAACTCCTTATATCATGCCATACTATAGAATCTAAAGCTTAGTTACATATTCCCTTATGCTATGTTCTACATCTCTTCTCTTCAATAAGACTAAGTAATCTGTGAGCAGACATCACACAGAGTGGTAAAAAGATTATTTACACTGGAGAACTTTATTTACACTGGTGAGTGAATGCTTTTCCACCAACATGCTGCATGATTTTTGACTAAATCTTTTACCTCTTTGGATCTTGCCTTATCTACATAATGAGATTCATTATCATCAACTTCACCATCCACCTGACCTACCACATGGGGTCTTTATTATGCAAATACAACTAAAGCACTCTGCATACAAACCGAAAGCAACACAAATGCCAGGATTTAATAGTTATCACAATTCTTTAGACCCCAAGGTATCTATACTCTACTGATTCTACCACTTTTGCACCCTTGCCTTTTTTCACTGTCTTCATTTCTCTCCCATCCAACTTTGGTCTCTGATCCATCACTATAATCATTTCCTTGCTTCTTTCTCCATTTCTCTTACTTATCTGGCAAAACTAGAACCTCTGGCTTAATCTAATGCTCTGTCTATCCCACTTGCTCCCAATGCAGCTATAGATTTCTTTCTCTTTACATATCCAAAATCTCTACTCCTTATTTCATAAGAAAAATACAGGCAATCAAGCAGAAACTCACATATCCTCAATCCCCACACTTACCAATCTGCCTGCTATTGTAGCCATGTTTTCTGTTTCTAGAGCAGAGACAGTTCATCCATTTATGGCTAACCTTCTATTTGTGCACATTCTCTCACATACATAGGGATTTCACTCAACAACTGCTCCCTCTCCATAATGATTAATTTCCCTTAGTACTAGGATGATTCCCATGAAGATACCAATTTCTCCCATCTTAGAGAAAAAAAAAAATGCTGACTTAATCCCATATTCCTCTCCAACTATAATTGTTTTCTATTACTCTTTACAATTAAAACTTAATAGAGCTTTCTATTATACTACTCATTTTTATTTCAACTCTTGGGACCTTCACTTGATTTCTCAGGAACATCTGATAGCAGTTTATTATTCTGTCCTTCACGAAACACTTTCTTCAGTTAGCTTCATCACCTATTCTCAATTCTCCTTCTATTTGTCTAGCACTGTTTTTCAAACTCCAGTGCTGGTTCTTCCACTTCTCCCTAATCTCTAAGCACTGAGATGGCCCGATGCTTAGTTGTACAATTCATTATCTTCTACACTCACTCAAGTTGTTTTATTCAGTTGAACAGCTTTAAAACCATCTAAATGTTGAAATTCCTAAATTTGTATTTCTAGCCCAGACCCATCTGCTGAACTCAAATCTTATATCCAACTTTTCATTAACAGGCATCTCAAACTGTTAAAAACCAAGCTTCTTATATTCTCTAGACCATTTCCTCCTGCAATCTCTCCTATCATAGTTACAGCAATGCCAGCTTTCCAGTTGCTCAGACCAAAAATCTTGATGTCATAGTTGCTTCTTTCCTTTCATACTCCACATTTCAATTCATTGGCAAATCAGTTTAAATAATTCAAAATATATCCAAAAGCTGATCATGTCTCTCCACCTCCACTGCTGTTCACTTGGTATCATTCACCATTTTGCAGTCTTCCTGTTTCTCCCCTTCCATCCTGCAATCTATTTCCAACATAGAAGCCAGAAAGCAAGATGTAAATCAGAATGCCATTTCTCTGTACAAAGTCTCTAATGGCTATCCATCTACTCAGAATAAAAGTCTCATCCTCACAATGGCCAACATCTGTGCTATAGTCTGGATCTGAAATGTTCTCCAGGTGTCCCCACGTGTTAAAGGCTTGTTCTGCAGTCCATCATGCTATGATAAAGTGTGGAGCCTTTGAGAAGGGGGGCCAAGTGGGAGGTTTTAGATCACTGAGGGCATCCCTCCTGAGTAGCTGGGATTACAGGTGGGCACCACCTGCCCAATTTGTGTCCTTTTAATAACCTACATTTTTCTCTATTTTGTCATTTCTTTCTCCAAATTTGGGATTTCAGTTCCTTTTGTTTTTCTCCTCTCCTTCTCCTCTGAGCATCTTGAGGTTAGGGTCTTGTGTGGTAAACAGCTACTTGGCAGAGTTCTTAACAAACATATGGGAACTCAGTAAAGATCTGTTGACTTTTTCCCTCCATTTGATGAATATGTTAACTTATTCAAACTAATAACTGCAATTTTTAAATATTGTAAGTTGTCATAGTAGGAAGAATGAAAGAAGACAGCAAGAGGATTACAGAAACAAAGAATAAGATAAAGGTATGCATTTTATGCTCTGTGATATGAGCTCTTTAGCATCTGTACCTTTCATTCTCAGAGTTGCAGTGACTACATAATAAATATTTATAAATAGGTTTGGGAGATTTGGCTGAAAAGTGCCCAATAATACAGAAATGAAGTTACTATTGACTGTTGGACTACTAAAACATAATGCAAAGAGAATATGAAAACATGATCCTGAATATGCTAATAAAGAGAAAGCTTCTTTGAGTCTGTTCTAATACCTAAACAAAGTTTCATACAAAAATTAACTTAAAATGGATTATGAAATTAAATATAAAATACAGAGAGAATCCAGGAACCACAAAGCCAAGTGGGGTAAATTCTAAAGAGGTAAGGTAGATTCAATATTTGTAATCAATGTGATGTACCACATTAACCAGCTAAAAGAAAAGAGAAAAAAAAATTACATGATCATATCAATACAGGAAAGAATATTTGACAAAATTCAACATAAATGAATTTATTACAATGCTCTCAGAAAAATAGTGATGAACATGTGGGAATGAATAATAAAAATAAGTGGGCTACAGTTGTTGCTCAGGAGTAGAATACTTGCTTAGTGTGCATGGAAAGCCCAGCATTTATGATAGTCCTTTTTTTTTTTTTTTTTAAATGAAAAAAGTATAAACTGGGCTGGGGATGTGGCTCAAGCGGTAGAGCGCTCGCCTGGCATGCGTGCGGCCCGGGTTCCATCCTCAGCACCACATACAAACAAAGATGTTGTGTCCGCCGAAAAAACTAAAAAAATAATAAATATTAAAAATTCTCTCTCTCACTCTCTCTCTCTCCCTCTTTAAAAAAAGAAAAGAAAAAAGTATAAACTTTTTTTTAATGAAAAAAGTGTAAAACACGTGCAGCAATTTCATATGCTGAAAACCTTATAATTCTTATAAAAAGAAAACAAAAACAAAGAAAAGCTAAGAGAATAGACATACCATGATCACAGACTGGAAGACTCAACATAGTTCTTCTCCTCAAATTGATGTATTGGCTTATTACAAGTCTTATCAAATTCCAGCAAGAATTTTTGTAGAGGTCAGACAAGATTAGAAAGACAAAGGAAGGAAGTACAATAGCTAAAACAAGTATGAAAAAGAAAAATAAAATGGGAGGAATCAATAAACCATATATTAAGACTCATTATATATAGTAATAAAGACTAAGTAATAAAGAGAACCCAGAATTAGATCCATACAATGTGCCCAACTGTTTTTTGTTTTGGTACTAGGAATTGAACCAGTGGCACTTTACCACTGAGCTACATCCCCAACCCTTTTTAATTTTTATTTTGAGACAGGATCTCACTAAGTTGCTTGGGGCCTTGCTAAATTGCTGAGTCTGGCTTTGAACTTGTAATCCTCCTGCCTCAATTTCCAGAGTTGCTGGGATTACATTCTGGGCTCGCCCAACTGATTTTTGACAGCTTTTGCAACAAAAGGTTGTGGAAGCAGTTGAGTGATAAGAGGAGGGGTGGGAGAACATGTCAATCTAAGTTTTCCACCTTATATAAAAACTAACTGGAGATATGTCATGGACTTAAATGTAAAATGTAAAACTATATAATGTTTAGAAAAATTGGTGAAAATCTTTGTTTTTCCGTGACAAATCAACAAGCTTCTTCCATAGCATTCAGTTTTTTAAAAAAAAAGCATAAATTTTGCTGAGTGTTTTGGGGGACAAAGACAAGATAGAAGATTCAAATATTTCCTTGGAATGAATTACAATATTTATAAAGTTGCAAGAAGATGAGATATTAATACATATCCCTAACATAAAAAGAGGATTTTTCTAAGTACCAAAAAAAAAAAA